TGCTTTTAAAGGAGAGACAGGTCAGATACAATCAATGTACATCTTATAGAGGAAAGGTGGATCAAACAAACCAGCGTTCCCTGAGAGACAAGACAGAAATAGAGTAAGATGAAACAGAAAGAAAAGATGCAATGACATATGCCAAGTTGATAATACATCTGAGAACCAGGTTGAATTCAGAAAACTCAGAGTCAAGTGCAAAAGGAAATAAAAACAGCAAAGAGAGACGCAAAGAGACAAATAGCCAAAATGAAAGGGAGTCTAAAAATCTTCCACTAACAAATGAACAGTAAATGAGTGGGCAATCAAAGGAGAGAGAAAGTCAATTAGTAACCAAAACTGAGACTTATGCATGGTGGCAAGTGAGCATGAATGAGGTACCAAATAAATATTTTACACGTACCTTTACCAATCAAATTGTGACAAAATCATACTGAAAGAGGAGGCAGTTGAGACACTGGATGAGCTAAAACAAAAGATGCATAGGACAAAATAGAAAGGCTGGCTATACCTAAAGTTGATATATAACCAGGATCAGACCAGATGGGTAAAAATGAGGAATTGGCAATAAAGAGATAACAAGGTGTAGAGCTGGATGAACACAGCAGGCCAAGCAGCATCAGAGGAGCAGGAAGGCCGACGTTTCAGGCCCAGACCCTTTTTCAGAAATGCTGGCCTAGTCAGCCACCTACATCAAATGAACAAATAAAACAAAAATGCATACAACGGCACTGACAGGAATAAGCTGGAAATTGTGGTGGTACTGTCTTTAAGCTTCCAATGGATCTTTGATGCTGCAGTCCTGCCAAGCAATTGGAAAATGCAAACATATTATCTTGTTCAAAATAAAGTGAAAGGTCAGTCAGTTTAGTGAAGGAAATAAGCAATGAAAAATGAAAAATTAGCATTGATAGGATGCAAGCATCACTGGCTAGACCAGTAATTATTGCCCATCCCAACAAGCCTTGAGAAGGTGGTGGTGAGTCCCCTTATTTAATTGCTTAAGTCAGTTGGGTTAGGTACATCCATAATGTTGTTCGGAAGGGAGTTCCAGGATTTTGACCCAGCAAAAGTGATGGAATGGTAATACAGTTCCAAGTTAGGATGGTGTATAGCTTAAATGGGAAGGGGCACATTGTGGTTTTCCAATGTATCCGCTGCCCTTGCTCTTCTCAGTGCTAAAAGTCACAGGTTTGAAAGGTGCGAGTAAAGTGGCTTTGGTGATTTACTTTGTACGTCTTGTAGATAGTATGCACTGCTGTTACTGTGCTTTGGCACGGGAGGGTGTAAATGTTAAAGGTGGTAGAGAAGGGGTGCCAATGGAGTGGGTTACTTTGTCCAGGACGATGAGTGTCTTGAGTGTTGTTCAAGCTGCACTCATCCAAGCAAGTAGAGAGTATTCCATCACATTCCTGATGTGCCTTGTACTTGACAGATGGCTTTTGGGGAAGCAAGTAGGTGAGTTATTTGACTCAGAATTCCTTGAATCTGACCTGCTCTTGTAACCACATACAGCTGGTTCAGTTCAGTTTCTGGTCAATGGTAGTTCCAGGATGTTGATAATGGAGCATTCAGCGATTCTAATACCCTTACATACAAACACAAAATGTTTAGATTCTGTCCCAGAATAAGGGAGTTCAAAACTAGACAGCACAGGTTTAAAGTGAGAGGGGAAAGATTTAAAAGGAACTTGAGGGGAAACGTTTTCCCGAGGGTGGTGCATGTATGGGATGCGATACCAGACGTGGTAGAGGTGGATACATTTACAACATTTAAAAGACATCTGAATGGATACATGAATAGGAAGGGTTCAGAGGGATATGGGCAAATGCTGCCAAATGGGACTAGATCAGTTTAGGTTATCTGGTCGGCACGGATAAGTTGGACCAAAGGGTCTGTTTCCATGCTGTGTAACACTATGACTCAATGACTCCATATTCAATGCTTTGGTGTTTTGTGCTGCAAACACCACTTGCCAATTACCAGACCAGGTCTAGATATTGTCCAGTTCTGAGGAAGGGTCACCGGACCTGAAAAGTTAACTCTGATTTTTCCTTCACAGATGCTGCCAGACCTGCTGGGTTTTACCAGCAACTTTGGTTTTGTTCTAGATATTGTCTAGGTCTTGCTGCATATGGATATGAACTGTAACAGCATCTGAGGAGTCACAGATGGTGCTGATTATTATGCATTCAGCAACAAATATCCTCACGACTGATGACAGCACACAAATCTTTGAAAAAGCAACTAAAGACGGCTGTGTTGAGCATACTGCCCTCAGAACTCCTGCAGAGAAGTTCTGAAACTGAGATGATTTACCTTCAACAACTCTTACCATCTTCCTTTAATAGGTAAGATGTCAAAGACAGTCACTGGAATTTCACCTCTGGCATTCAACTCTGTTGATACGTTTGACCAAGGCTGGAATAAGGTTAGGAGCTGGTTGGCAGAATGCAAGCTATCAGCGAGTAGGCTACTGCTGAACAAATACCTCTTGGTATTGGTGTGATGACCTCCTCCATAAAACTTTTCTGATGATTAAGAATAGACTGATAGGACGGTAATTGGCCAAGTTGGATTTGTCCTTCTTTTAGTGCACAGGTTATAACTGGGCAAATTTCCACATTGCTGGGTGGATGCCAGTGTTGCAGTTGTACTTGAAAAGCTTGGCTATGGGTGCAGATTATTCTGGAGGGTAAGTCTTCAGAACTACTACCAGAATCCACAGTCTTCACAGTATCCTTTCAGCCATTTCTCAAAATCGTATGAAGTGAATTAAATTAGCTGAGATGTTGGGGTCCATGAAATGAGGTCAAGGTGCAGCAACCACTGAGCATCTTTGGTTGAAGATGACTGCAAACTTCTTTAGCTTTAGTACTGATGTGTTGAGCTCCACCAACGTAAAGAATAAGGAAATTTGTGGTACACCTACTTGTATTAGTCATTTAATTATCCATCACCATTCAAGACTGATGTTGCGGGAATACAGAGTATTACACCTGATTCTCTTGCTGTGAGATCACTTACCTCCATTTATTGCAGACCACTTCCACTGATTAACATGGAAGCAATGTCCTCACGCACCTTAATCAGCTTGATGGACAGATGCATCTGCAATTTTGTCAAGTAATCTTTCCCTCTTGTTGGTTCCCTTGCCAGTTTAACGGCTATATCCTTTAGGATTGAGCCAACTCAGTCAATTATGGTATTACTGAGCCAATCTACAAGTCTCCCACATAAAGTGCATCTGTGCCCATGCCACCCTCATTGTTTCTAAAAATTGACGTTCAACACTGATGGGTACTGACTCAGCTGCAGGCAAAAGGAATAAAAAGCACCAAAAACATTATGTTTTATAAGCTGACGTCAAAAAACTATATTGCACCATATGTATAATGCAGTGTATAGGAGAATGAATAATTTGTTCCCAAACAGAATGAAAACTATCCTTTAGATTAAGATGGGCATGGAGGAATTGGCTATCTTGACATTATGAGGAGTTGTCCTATGTCCGTAGACTAGATGGATTCAAATGGATGATTTGCAGAGTGTAAGCTACTACTAGAAATATGGTATTTCAATACGCTCAGAGTTATAGGGGAGTCCTTGTAGGGTGCAGTTCTCATCAAGCAGAAGTTGTCTTCAGTTGGAAGGTGGACCAAAAGAACAGGAGGAAGACCCAGGGAGAGTTCCCTAACACTTCAGCCAGACAGCAAGTTACTGCCTTCAGCAAGATCAACATACTGCAGGCCGACTGTCTGTTTCTGTTTGTCCTCTAGTATCAATGAAGCATATTCAGTTGTCACAGATCCTATACCTTATTTGTTTAATTATCTTATGTATCAAATCCGTTCTGCTACTTCCCAACAAACTTAATAAACAAGCTGAAAATTCCTCACAAATTGTCGACTGCCTTTATTAGGTAATCATGGTCATGAACCCCCAACACTTAACACAACTTCCAGACAATATCTGACTGTGACTCAAATAGAACACGGGACAGCTGGCCCAATTTTGATACAGACCCCCAGATGTTACTAAAGAAGGTTGATAGTGCTGATTTGAGAAAAGCTAAAACCTACAATTGTACCACTGGCTGTTTAATTACAGTTCATCTGGTAATAATACAAAATGTTAGTATTTTATTTTATTGAAATGCTAATGTTAACACTGTTTTTGATTTTCGAACAGTTTTGGCACTTCTTAAGCACCCTGCTGAATGAAAAGCATTGTAATTTTGATGTATACATCTAATTAGATGGAAGACTCACAGTGTTCCTGTACTCGTACAATTAAAATGCACTTCCTGGTGATACTGACAATGAAGCTTTGGCAAAATCTACAATCAGGCTGCCTCTTCTGTATGAGTAAGAATGTCACTAAATGATGAAGTGAGGAATAGCTTCTAGAAACAGCCAACAATGGAGAAAAACAAATTAGCGTACAAGATAATGTTATGCTCAAGCCTGCAGTTTATTCATTTCTGTTGAAGGAATTATAATTATTTTTGAATAAATTATAATGTTTATGCAGACATTCGTACATTAAGCAGCAAGCTAACCAAACTTTATGGAGAGTAAAATCTAGTTGAGTGCCCTTATGAGTAACAAGCGGAGGGTTTTGAACTCCGCCTCTTTCAAAGAAAAATCTCGACCAGCATACCAAGGAAGTTTGAGTTCTTCTGAGAAAAATATTCACTTGATGTAGATCATAAAATCCAACTATTACACTTGACAGGATAATTGTAATCATGTGACAAAGGAGTGCATGGAATCAATAGCCATATCTTCATTTTGCATTCTAGATGTACAATCACATAGTGACACTCAAATTATACATTTTAAATGTTACATTTTCTGTATTCTAAGATCTTCAAATGTTACAGGGATGCTGAACTCGAGCTAGATGTAGATATCACAACCTTGATGGAATACAATATATTTAAAGTTCATATTTCAGCAAAATTTTCCATCTGATTGTACAAGATGTTTCTTTCTTACCTGCAGACAGAACACTGTCTTTGGGGCTGAAGTGCAGTGAACATCACAATTACAGAGTAATTACGAGGAGGAGCCTTCACAAACCTTCGGAATTTGTCACCATTCATTCGAATGACTGAACGTCTGGAGCTCCATTCCATTAACTGTTCCACCTTTTCTGCCAGAAGGTTCTAAAGTGCAACAAGTGATAATGAGGATCAGGAGGGTAAATCTTTTACATCAATTATATGACAATTATAAAATACCAGCCTTAGCAAGTCTTACACTAAAATGGTAAAGGAAACCAACTTAGAAGTAAATATGAATATAACTGTCAGAAATATATCATTTCTATAAGGGATACATAAATACACTGGTAAAATCAGCAAATACTGCAAATGAAATTGAATGCAGAGAAGTTTAAAGTAATAATATTGTGATGGGAAGAATTAGGAAAGGTGATATTAATTGTTACAATTTTCAATGCGTTTGGAAGAGCAGAGAGGCGAGGTACACAACACTGAAACAGGTAGGACAAATTGAGACAGTTGACAGGTGGGATCTTTAGTTTTAGCAACAGAGGCTTAGAATTCAAAGCAAAATGCTTTGCTGAACCTTTATGAGATACTGGTTTGGCAATGGCTGCAATATTGTCTTCAACTTCAGGTGATGCTCAGAGCTAGTGATCGCTCAACGCAGTCCTGTGAAACAAGCTCCGGCTTCACTGCACTCTGTAGGAAGCTGCATGTGATTTCATTTTCCACTGTAATTTTGTGTGTTATTAATTTCTTCACATTAGAAAGGTCTTGAGGCTTTGGAAAGGATACAGCATAGATTTATTACTATGGTACTAAGGATATGTGATTTCAGTTAGATGCATAAAATGGGACTGTTATCTTGGAATACATAAGACTCCAAAGAGTTTTGGTAGAGAGGTTCAAAATATTTAACGTTTTGAATAAGGTAAACAGAGAAGCAATATATCCAGAAAAAATGTCAGTTATCAGATAACAAACAGGAACTACTTTGTGGAATAGAGAATAACTCAGGAAATAATGAGGACATCGATTGCCAGCTCCAACGTGCCACAGTGAAAAACTGTAGTGACTCATCAGAAGACAGACACGGGATACATCTGAAAGGGTGCCCTTCGTCATCCAGTGCTTCCTGGGAGCAGAGAAACTACACCAAGTTCTTCGCAGCCTTCAACACATAATTGATAATGATGTGCACCTCACCAAGATCTTCGCCACACCTCCACTTCTCACATTCAAACAACCGCCAATCCTTAAACAGACCATTGTTCGCAGCAAACTACCCAGATTTCAGGACAACATCAACCACAACACTATACAACCCTGTCATGGTAACCTCTGCAAGCCATGTCAGATCTTCGACATGGACACTACCATCACACGTGCGAACACCACCCACCATGTGCACGGCAGATATTCATGTGACTCGGCCAATATTGTCTATCTCATACGCTGCAGGCAAGGATGACCCTAGGCGTGGTATTTGGCAAAACCATGCAGATGCTATGACAATAGATAAATGGACATCATGCAACAATTGTCAGACAGGAATGTGCCCTCCCAGTTGGGGAACATTTCAGCGGTCAAGGGCATTCGGTCTTGGATCTTCGGGTAAATGTCCTCCAAGGCAGACTTCAGGATACACAACAACACAGAGTCGCCAAGCAGCAGCTGATAGCCAGGTTTGGTACCCATGAGGATGGCCTCAACCGGGAACATGGGTTCACGTGACCCCACCACACTACACACTCACTCTCTCTCACATACACACACACAGTCTCTCTCCCATGCGCACACACACACAGTCTCTCTCTCTCTCTCTCACACGCACACACACACAAACACACACAGTCTCTCTCTCTTTCCCACACACGTTCTCTCGCCGCCCCCCACCAACACACACACACACACACACACACACACGCACACGCACACGCGAATCAATAGGGTGAATTAGTATTTGCAGATACATTTCATTTTGTTCAAAAAGCATACAATTTATAGACAGTCAGTCAATGTGGTGTTTTATAAATGCCTACTTTAGAAATAAAACCAGCTGACTCCATACTAAACACAAACAGATTCTAAACAAGATCTCAACACCTAACATGCATTGTCTGACCTAAAACGTTACCTCCTCTTTACACTGAAAGCATTTAGTTCTCTCAGGACCAGGACTTGAAAGGAATTCGGGGATTTACATACGCATAGAATCACAGAATCCCTACAGTGTGGAAACAGGCCCTTCAGCCCAACAAGTCCACACCGACCCTCAGAGCACCCACCCAAACTCATCACCCTATAACCCACCTAATCTACACATCCCTCAACACTATGGGCAATTTAGCATGGCCAATCCACCTAGCTTGCACATCTTTGGACTGTGGGAGGAAACCCTCGCAGACACGGGGAGAACGTGCAAACTCCAGAGAAAAAGTCACCCGAGGGTGGAATTGAACCCGGTTCCCTGGCGCTGTGAGGCAGCAGTGTTAACCACTGTGCCACCGTGCCACCCCAAAACTTATTCAAAATCAGCAACTTGAGGAAACATAGTCAGCAGGATTCGAACCTGCGCAGGGAAACCCCAATGGATTTCTAATCCATCGCTTTAACCACACGGCCACGACTACGGGGCTACATGTTAATTAATTAAAACCTTCCGACTGATTAAAGATTTAACAGTATCTTAGGTTTGTTTAGTACATCCTCATCAATGGTGTGAACCTTTGATCTTTTATAAATTCTGTGTCTGATCTACCTCTCTCACGAACGCCTGAAGGAGGATTGAAGCTCCCAAAGCTTGTGTTTTCACATAAACCTGTTGGACTATAACTGGTGTTGTTTTATCATTTCTGACTTTGTGCTGCTATGTGACAGAGAATGTAAACACTGAGGGCCATTAGCTTATTTTTTTTTTGGTTCAGGATAAGCAAGGACTTATTTCACCTGAGAAAACCGAGAGATTAAAAGTTGTTGGGCAGTTTTGAAGAGACCCAACTGAAGTCAGAAGAAAATATATCTTTTCTCCTAAAATGAAATGAGTATCGAACAGTTCATGTAATTTACTTTGTGCAACTTCATGATCAGGTGTGTTTGCTTAGAAATCTGCAGATTATTTTTTTAAAATCTAAATGCTCAGATTTGAGTGTATTCATCGAAGAAATTTTCAGAGTTCACAGGAAAAACTAGGGAGAATCACCGACATCAAATTTAAAGAGTTGATATAGAGAGGTAATCTGTCTCTCCACAAAGGACACAGTCAAGAAATTGGATGAGATGCGTTTTTAAAACTGAGTTCTCTATTTAGACAGAGATAGTAGGAACTGCAGATGCTGGAGAATCCGAGACAACAAGGTGCAGGGCTGGATGAACACAGTAGGCCAAGCAGCA